TCCTTCTCTTTCTCCACTCCGCTGTGGCTCGCGGGGTTTACAATGTTCTATTTGGCGTCATCTTTCGATGATTGTCCTTCTATTATCAAATGCCCCATACTGTATTCGACCGTTTCAAAATAGAACAATTGGCAATATTATTCGTTACTTATCTCTCTTCGTTTCGGGGCCCCCATTTTTGGAGTTATAGAGGACAAGCGTTTTATATTTTGGAGACAGTCCACGTCCTTCTTTGGAACACACTAAAAGGATAGGCGAAAATTGAGCACATTTTCACTAGAACCGAAGAAGAATTTCTCGTAAGCGGCGGGAAACGGAGGGTTTCACTAAAGCAGCCGTCGTCTTCTGGCAGGATCGACCTTCAAATCTCTTGAAATGGAGCTGATCTCCAGCAAAGTATTGTTCTCCTTATGCTTCTAGTAAGGTCAGTCAAATAAACAATTCATAATAAATGAAAATACATCCACAAAACAGTCTTTACGAATATATATTCCATAGTATTCTTGGCAAAATCAAACTTCAAATGTATCTATCATATGAATAACGTCGGGACTGGGAAGGAAAATAATGTGGGCGAGATGATAGCATAAAGGCAAAAAGTACCGTAACGCAGCATTTTTGTAAATAATGAAAATCAGTAAATTTTAATTTATAACAGGACGATGTTGAAGTAAAGAGGTCTACTTAAAGTGAAAAAGCTAATTTTAAACTACCGCCAGTTCCTGAGCCCCACTCTCCAGTGTCTGTGGTAACACTAGGTCTGTTTGTGTCTGGAGGCCAGGCAGGTGGTGGGCCTCATTGGTTGCCAAGCTCATAAGGAAACTAGTGAGCCCACCGATGACATCTGCCACTAAATCTTCATCTGATGGCCCGGCATAGGTTTCAGTGTTGGTCGTGAGAACAGCACCAACAGAGATTGATGATGTCGAGGCCTGGAGCAACTGACCTCTTCGTTCATCCTGTCGACAGGAGGCTGCAGCATTCTCCAGGCCAGACTCGGAGTCGTGAGTCTCGGATGTTGAAGGCTCGTTGACGTGAGGCAGTGCGACATCACGTCTGCCAGTTGGGTGATGAAAAATGGTATCGGACGAAAGTGGCAATTTGAGACGCTCTGATAGTCCAGCAGCCAGGTCAGTCAGGCCGGCCAGTTGATATCTCGAACCGACCAACGCCTCCTCGGAAGCCTGTAACGACTCGGCCAAACGTTGGTGTTCTTCAGCTCTACGTGAATGTAAGTTGAGTCGATGTTTTGTGAGGCTTGATAGCCGGACAAAGCGAAGTTTCAATTGACCAACCTCGTTTAGCAAATTGGAACATGCCGCAGTCCCGGTGCCAGCTGAAGAAGCGGACAGCTCGGAAGAATATACCGAGAGTGTATGCAGGGCAGCACTGCGATCATTGAGCATAGTAACCAACGGCTCATGCGTCAACACTTCTTGAAAGCGTTGCTGTAGGGGGGATAGGACAAGAGATAGAAGAAGGAATGCCTTTTTAATCATTCAATAATAGTACTTCCCTGTCAAATAAGATGTTTTAGGCCCAAAATGAGTCGCTGATTGGTCCCGCCTCTAGGTCAAAATAAGATTTGGTATCTTTGCGATTAAGAGCAATAATAAAATAATATACATTGCTGAATAAGAAAGCTGTCAATTCAGGGCATATAACATGATTGAGGAGTGAGAAAGGAGTCGTTCCCACAACTATGTGGGTCTCGAACTGTACTCATATCGAAAATAAGTAACGTCTTCGAATGGGAAATGCATGCTAGCCTCATAGACACTTTCCCTAAACAT